CCCCAAAACCCCAAAACCCCAAAACCCCAAAACCCCAATAAGATGCATAAATAATAAAATGAACTATATAAGCTTTGAAGAGGTGATAACCCCCAACAGACAGGTCTTTGATTACAGTAAAGATCACACAGAAATGCTTGATATTATCCGCGAGCAGTCTCGGCTTATAGAGGAGTATCGTGACAGAATCCAGGAACTTACAGACCAAAATTTCCAACAATGGAGGAAGCTAAAACAATGCAAATGTCAGAAGAGAAAAACCCAAGTTAATTTTATGTCTATTCAGAGCTGAGAAGTCCAAATTCCAGGAATGAAGGAAGAACAAGATCAAGATGACTCTAATAGTACTGTCTTAATTGAAGCCTTAGAGAAAAACTTTGAAAGCAAAGGAAATAAGAAGATCGAAACTGAGCCTGACTATAAATCAACCGCGGACAGATCATTCTTGCCTTCACCTAAAAGAACTCATCGTCGAAGAAGGGTAATTATTGATGAAGAGTCAGTAATCAGTGATGGACGATCCTTAAAATTAATGGGTAGTGAAAGATCATTTTGTAAATCACCTCTTACAGATTACTTACAGCCAGAGAGCTTTCTGTCTAGTAAAGATATCACTTATACTTTTAACGAGCTGCAGACTTCTTCAGGAAAGAAGCAATCTAGTATCCTAAGTTTTCAACAATTACCAAGTGATTGCAAGGTTGAACAAGTGCCTTGAGTTTCAGTAAAATTAGCTTGCCCAACTGCCGCCTCAAAGGGTGCAAAATCAAGGGTTAAATCCAAAAGGGAGATGGAGCTCCATTTCCTTCTAGATGAGTTGAACCAAATTTCTAACCCCTCTTCACCTTCAAGCCAGTGGTCAAAGCCGAACATGGAGCTACAAGACAATGAGAGAGTGACGTTGAGGGATTATACCTCGATGACTACTAATTTTCAGAGATCTAAGTCATCTCTCATGTAGAACTCGTCTTACTGAATAATGAGCATTCAATATGAAAAGTTGGAAAAGGGGTTTTGGGGTTTTGGGGTTTTGGGGTTTTGGGGTTTTGGGG